GATAATATACCGCACTTTATACATTCGTACGAATTCCAGATAGATTTAATTATTTTCCTGGATAAGAAGTCCGAGTCTTCCCTAAATTGGAATTGTGAAAATATTTTTGTTCCTTATAGCAATGATAAATTTACGGAAAATAATGTCATAGTTATTGCTGAATCAATTATGTCGGCCGGGAGCAATACAGTGGTTAGCATTGTTGTCAATGAACCAGGAGAAGCTACCCCAATTTCAGCTAATATAGTCGAAGATGTTTTATATCAGTCGTTACAAGAGGATAGTGCAACAACAGTTTCTGACTTAGATTTGGCTGCTGTGAACATACCCACGATTTCAATAAGCCAACGTGCTAATGCAATCAATGTTCACCTACGAAATACGCAGGCTAATCAGTCCTTTTGAAAGCTGATTTTCCCGCGCGCCGGCTTCAACGAATCATAGACTTTCATCATAGGAGTTAGCCTTCCAGTTATTATTAGAGTTCACTGGTCTTGTGTAATTCAAACGCGTAGTCAATCTCGTACCCAGAGTATGCCCATTCGCAGGTGACAACATTGAATTGGGGGTGAGGGGGGCATTTATGCGTTTGTCTCAACAATTTTTGCTCCTGATTGTAGGATGATAATATACCGCACTTTATACATTCGTACGAATTCCAGATAGATTTAATTATTTTCCTGGATAAGAAGTCCGAGTCTTCCCTAAATTGGAATTGTGAAAATATTTTTGTTCCTTATAGCAATGATAAATTTACGGAAAATAATGTCATAGTTATTGCTGAATCAATTATGTCGGCCGGGAGCAATACAGTGGTTAGCATTGTTGTCAATGAACCAGGAGAAGCTACCCCAATTTCAGCTAATATAGTCGAAGATGTTTTATATCAGTCGTTACAAGAGGATAGTGCAACAACAGTTTCTGACTTAGATTTGGCTGCTGTGAACATACCCACGATTTCAATAAGCCAACGTGCTAATGCAATCAATGTTCACCTACGAAATACGCAGGCTAATCAGTCCTTTTGAAAGCTGATTTTCCCGCGCGCCGGCTTCAACGAATCATAGACTTTCATCATAGGAGTTAGCCTTCCAGTTATTATTAG